TCAGACCCTGCTGCACTGTTTATTTCTTTGTCATTTAGCAAAAATCTTTTAATAAAATATTTATGCTTTGGACTTTGCTCTATACTTTGTTTATAGTTAAATGTCTAGAAAATGAAAAGCTGTCTTCAGTGAAACGCAGTGATGCAATTGATATTTTAAAGAAATTGACAAGAAGCAAAATTTATGGAAGTCTAGCACGAAAATCTAATTTTCTTGTTGTGAACGAAAATAATGTAGAAGAAAGAAGAAACTTAGGAGGGAAAGTAAGCAAAAATTGCAGGGATTTGGCTGTTCGACATACCAAGAGTTTCAAAGTTGGACGCTTTTGAATATACTTCAGGATACTTCAAGAAATTGGTGTTAAAGGAAAACACTGACGGGTACACCAGCAAATACCATCAACGAGATTGGTAACAGAAAAGACAAAAACGATATCATTGCAGATTAAAGTGAAGAGCGATTTTTTTAACTAATAGTTGTATAATGTAAATTACGTTATCGAACATCAACGTATTAATAATGGGAATCCCATGATTTTCCAGTCGAATTTTGAAGATTCAGGAGTTTATCCAGGATGTATGTGGATGTCACCTAAAGATGTTTTTTTTCCTCCTGATGAACAGCGGCCGAGGGTAAAGTCGCTGAACACTGGTAGTTCGGTCCGAGGTTCGAATCCCGCGAACGGGCTGGCTGCATGGGCGTTTTCGTGGTTTTCCCCATGTGTAACATGTATGCGAGCCAGTTTCCCTTAGAAAGTCCTCCACGAAGGCATCCCTACCCTTAGGCAGATAGCCCTGTGTGCTTTTCATAATTAAATAAACCAAACCTTGATGAAACCAGTCTTTCCTTTCATCTCATACCTTCAAAATGCTTTAGCCTATAAAGGCTCTGCCAAAATACTCGTGAAGAACTTCTAAAGGGAAACAGCTGGCATACATGGTTCACATGAGGAAATCCACAAAACGCTCATCAACCAGCCCGTTTTACCGGTTCGAACCCCGAGTAAACTACGTGTTCAGCACTTTACCTCGGCCGTTTGTGGCCGTTATGAAATGGAAGGCGATAACTTTTAAAATGATTGTCAGAAATATAAAGATATTTCGAAAAGTTGGATGCTCTTTAATTACTTGCAGAATGCCTAAAAAAAAAAGAGCAAGAATAAAGTAAAGTGCCTGAGAAATAGATTTTTGCGTAAAATTATTATTGTATTTTTTTTGTAAATTTAAAATCTTTTAATCTTATGATATTTGATTCTTTGCGATTTCAAAATAAAATATTTGACTAAAATATGAATAACATTTAAAAACCAAATGTAGGATAAAATTGTCTAAAGCAATGAGAACAATGATAAAAACTGTTTAAAAGCAGTGTATGCAAGTCATCCTAAGTTAAAAATGTCGGTTATACATCTCTCTTATTTATATATGTCTTTTCTGAACGGAAACATTGATATGCATGTTAACTGTGCTTTACTTTCTCTTTAATATATACAGTTTTCAAACACATCGTGTCTGGGTTACAAAGTATTCTTCCAAAAAAAACGCAATTCAAATAAATAAAATCAATTCTGGAAAATTTATATTAATAAATATATTTAAATGCTCAGTTCGAAGGAATAAATAGAAAAAAATTTTAAAACAATTATCTGAAGAGACAATGCAACACAAACAATTTAAATAAAAGTATAAAAATTTAAAAATTACCTAAAATAATAACTATGACAAAAAATATATATAAAGAAAACTATTAAAAACAATAAACGCTGCACCTTTAGTTTATGCAGTTGAATAGGTAAATAGAAATTTTAAAAACAGTTATTCGAAAAAAAAAAAAAAAACCATGCAAATTAAACATTAAAATGAAATTCGAAAAAAAAAAATTACTTAAAATAATAGTTAAAAATATAATATAAAGAAATATTATTTGGAAAAAAGGAACGATGGTGACTTTTTTCCCTCTCACGGGAAAGAAAACTAGGTTGCCATATATTAAGGAGCTCGCCAAATGAACTATTTTTAGCGCAAACTGAAAAAAAAAGTGCGAACATAAGTTTGTGAATTTCTCCGTAAATTTCGCTCCAAATTTTACAAAATTTCATATTTAGGCGTAATTTGAATTGTAGAATCGAAATATGTAAAAAAATTGGTATGTTAGTTCAGAAAAAGTCCGATTTTGTGTCAAAATACCCATGTTTGAATTGTGCTATATATAAATCTAATATTTGTAAGAACTAACCGTTCTCCTTTCTCCTAATAAACTTAAAATAAAATAACTTTACATATAAAATTCTACAGGTCATATTATTTTCAAAATCCATAGAACTACAAAAACTACAACAAGATCAGATGGTTGCCATTCTTACAGTGACAAACTATGAAAAGAGAAATAAAAACTGAGGCTGGGTTCTAACAATACTCCCACCTTTTGATATACTTAATCAAGTATATCAAAAGAGAAAGTACCGCCCAACTGACATAACAGTCTCATGGCATAATGGTAACTCTTCCTTTGAACCACAAACGATAGCCTCCAGCAGCCCGACCGTGCTCACAAAGATAGAAATAAACGATTTTAAAACTTTAAGAATACACGCCGTGAAGCTGAGAGGGTCCGGGCAACAGAAAAGGGTTAGTAGAAAAACTAAAACAAACAAGCAAAAAGTTAAAGGTAATCAATGGTCACAAAGCTGATAAACAATTATACCGAGAAAAGGAGAACAAAGAAATAAAAGAAAGAGAAGAAAACTGTAAAACTTGATTAGTATAAAGTAATAAAGAAAAAAGAGTAAAGAGCAAAAGGAGAAAAGTTTCAATTATACAACCAGACAAACAAACATACATTTACACAAAACTGCACAAGACAATATAAAACACACATTCAAACACAAGAAACACCGAAACATCTGGAATGGCAAAATCAGAATCAATCGTAGGAATTCCCAGTTTAAAAAAGGAGAGCTGTTACATCGAAAAACTAAACTAACAATACCGTTGGAAGGACCAATCCGATTTAATCACTGAGACGCTAGTTCTCAGTGATTTTATATTTATACTTGACAGAATTATTTTTATTTTTATCAAATTAAACTTTGTATTTATGTAAATCAATTGACAGAGATTTAACAGAACATTTAAACAGATTTTTATAATTTTGTATTTAACAGAAATTAAATTAAAGTTCAAGTTTCAAATAGATTACAAAATAATTATCCAACGGATGTGTATAAATAAAAGGTGTTTAAAGCTGACGAAAAACATTGGTTTTATACCTCCATGAGCTGAACTATTTTATTAAATTAACATTAATTGTTTAAATCGCAAGTTCTGAATCAATATTACAAATGTGGTGACTACATATAAGTTAGTGGATAACTCAGAGAGATCAGACACAATTATTTTTTTTGATAATTCAAAAACAATAGTAAATTACAAAAAATAAGAAAAATAATAATAATAATTTAAATACAGCATGCATGGAGAAATTAAATCTTCATTTCCAATACAGCAATCTTCACCAGGAACCAAGATACAATAAACACATCACAAGTAATAAACATGTCCTCTCTCGGGAACAAGAACATATACACATAAAATCCAAATACAACCAAAAACAATAAGTATAAAAACAACATATACAATATATACAATAGAATACTAAAAATTTCAAAAGCCGAATATCTTTCAGCAAGTACCAAGCAATAAAATCATTAAAAACACCAATTGTTTCATAAGAATAAATTGAATTTAATTTAAAAAATTAAATTTAAATACATATTTAATTAAATATTCTTTGCGCTATTGCTGCAAGGAATGAAATTTAAATTTAAACAAATTTAAATTCTTAACAAATACGTATAAAAGTAAAAAAAATTAAATTCTAAAAAAAGGAAAAAAGCCAAAATAATTTAAAATAATTTTAAAAAATGTGCAAACATGTAAAAGATTTAATTCTCGAACTAATCTACAATATCATTTAAATTCAGAAGCATAAGCAAATCAAGTGCAAAATCTATTCATGAAAATAAATCTACTAATTTAATAAATTAAAATTAAATTAAACATTTTTTTTTAAAAAATGCATATGTGAATGACCGTAGAGCAGGCAGGAGACAGACTTATCAAGGGGAAGTTGCCTCCAAACCTAACTCTCCAATCATTCAATTCGTGTTTCGTCATTCATGCAGGCAAGGGTAAAAGTCAAAACCAAAAGTAATTCCAATAAAGTGGTACCCTTAGATATTAACATTTAAGTATTAACATTTAAGAATTAAAGTTCAAAAAGGAAAGTCTTTTGAGTAACAAGCAAGTAAAGTCAAGAATTAAACTTTTTCTTAAAAAATTAAATTTTTTAATATTAATTTTTTATAAATAATAAAAAAAAATCTAGAAACCAATGTATTTTAGAAATCCTTGTCTACAGAAACTTCCCCTACACGATTGTAGATTAGTTCGAGAACTAAATCTTTTACATGTTTGCACATTTTTTTAAATTATTTTGGCTTTTTTCCTTTTTTTTTAGAATTTAATTTTTTTTTTTTACTTTTATACGTATTTGTTAAGAATTTAAATTTGTTTAAATTTAAAATTAAAAACACCAATATATACAATATAAATAAAATCAGCATAAGATTTAAACATCAAGGTAAAATTCACGATACAAATATAAGTATTAAAATTCAGGGAATAAAATCATAGATGTATAAATATTAAATCAAAACTCCACATTTGGTTCTATTGGTGTTAATAAACCTCAGGACGGCCTCTGCAAAAGATCGTAATTTTACAAAGTCAGGAGTAGTATTCCTAGAAATATTAAAACTGTTTCTTAAGGACTGAAATATAACGCAGTCAAATATATAATGATTAGCATCTCCAGTGACCCCACACTCTGAACAAACACTGGCATTTTGTACATTAAAACGAAACAGGTATTCAGGGAAGCGACCGTGGCAAGTGAGGATTTGATTAAGGTCGATGTTGTTGAAGATCTTCATCTTTTTCTTAATGTCGATGTGTCTTCAAAAGCCCTTGTTCTTCTCCGAGGTGTTCCAGTCTTTCTTCCATTCCATTTCTTCCATATCTACCATATCTACCATTTCTTCCATTTCTTCCATATCTACGAGAACCTGAAATTTCAATATAGGGGATATCGTCAGATCTGGCGGCGTCGAGCGCATCCGCTCTCTCGTTACCATCGAACCCCACATGGACTTTAATCCAATGTAACCTTAGAGAGCTTAAGCATAAGATATTTTTGTGTAAGCATTTTATATTGTATAAAGTAAAATTAGAAACAATTGGATTTTGCAAATTTTGTAATAGAGATAAACAATCGCTGTATATATCAATGACAGATCTTGGAGGCAAATTATGATGTACGTATGAGAGGGCTTGTTCGAGAGCACAGCTCTCAGCTTGAAAGACAGAGTTATATTTGTTTAACTTGTACAAAGAATAATCAGTTTCTACTCCATAAAAATACACCACAAATGCAGCTCCAATGCTATTGTCTATACCAGAACCGTCTGTATAAATTTCATACATATTATTTCTTGGTAATATTTTATCAAAGGTACACATAACATTTTTGGCGGGATGAAAAAGCAATCTGTTAAATTTGTCATAAGCATGTCTGGTAAGTAATTCGTTTCCAAAGATCTTAAAATCCAAATTTCCGGATCTTAAAAGAAATCTATCATAATACATTTGGTATAAAATTGAGAGAGGCGGAGTGCCAGCCAGAACACATAAAACCTCGGAGGAGACCGTCCTGAAGCACCGAGTAATCAGCAGGCACCAGCTCCTCTGTATGGTATTTAATTTCAATCTAATCCTCTGAAGTTCCCCCGCCCTGGAACCCCAGGCACCCATGCCGTACATAACGATAGGAATAATGACCTTTTTATGTATGTCTAAAATAATCCTGTATTTACTAGAGAGAACACAGGTTGTAAAATAACGTTTGTAAAATAGGAAAATATTATCAGTTCTTCTTTGTATGATCTTAAAATGCTCAGAGAAAGTTAGACCAGAGTCGAAAATAACGCCCAAATATTTTAAAGACTGAACGAATTTGATGCGACATCCATTGTATCTTAGTTGTGGAGTACGACATTTTCGTCCACACTTTGGAAAAAACAGGGCATTCGTCTTATTCATGCAAAATGTCAAGTTCTCTTCTGTCTTCCACTTGTCAAAATAGGGAGTGATGCGATCAAAGAGTGCCTCTAATTTTTCTAGAGAATCTTCCTTTAGAAAAATTAAAATATCGTCAGCATAGGCGACCAATTCCATGTCCTCTTCATGAAAATCAAAATTTAAAAGTTTGTTCATTATGAGGTTCCAGAACAGGGTTGCACTACAAGAGCCCTGCGGGCAACCTTTAAAAATCTGTAATGTAACACAGTCACTGTCATCAAAGAACTCGTTATATAGGACATACCTGTTGGTGAAGTAAGAAGCGTAACGTCGCACAATATCTAAAGGCAGTTCCAAGTCGATCATATAGTGTAACAAAGAGGACCAACTAATAGAATCAAAATCCAGCGAGAGAATAACGACATGTTTATGCTGCTTAAATTTAGAGACAAAACTTACTACACGATTCAAAGCCATATCGGTATTACGACCCGGTACAAAGCCGAACTGTCTATCATGTAAAATCCCCTTATTCAAAATCCAGTATAAAAGTCGATTGCATAAAATTTTATCTAAAATCTTGGCAAGAAAATCTAGTAAAACAATTGGTCTTTTTTTGCCATTCGGCTTTCGTATTAAAATCATCTTTCCTGTTTTCCAAAAATCTGGAAATAATCCAAATTTAAAGCATTTGTTAAAAAGTAATTGCATAAAATCAGAGTAAAAGGTATAAAAGATTTTAATAAAAATACGGTGTATACAGTCGGGACCCGGCGCGCTCCTGTTGCGCAGGCCATTCACTGCCCAGCACACTTCTTTCGTAATGTCTGGTTCAAAAGACGTAATGTCCTCCAATCTTCGGTAAATAACGGTCAAATCCTCTTCATGACCAAGGTCAAAAGTATTCTGCACAATGTTCTTATTATACTCGACTTTATCAACATTGTATTCTTTCTCATTCTTCTTCATGTTACCTATATTTCTCTTATCGGTTGCACATTTAAAAAATCCATCATTGTAAACTTCATTGTTCAAAAAGGAGTTATTCTTAGCGTCAAATCTGGCTTTGCGGAGAGCCCTTTTATAAAAGGCTAATTCTCTTTTATAATCCGTTTTTCTAAGACCTTTTTCATGATCAGAAATGCCCCAGACCTGTGAGCGTTTTCTCAAGACCCTGACTCTTCTACGAAGTCTGGTGAGTCCAGAGGTCCACCATCTATATTCTTTTCCTCGGCTCGGTTTAGATTTCAGTTTTGTCTCGACTCCGGTCTTCAATACTGTTAAAATTTCATCAATAATAATATTCACTTCGCATGGAGAATCGGTATTAATCAAACGACCAGTAAAATTGGATATTTTTCTACGAAAATTTTCACAAAATCTCGAAATTCTATAAACGTTTTTGGTAATGCCGGTCTGGTCTTTTTTTCCTGATCTCAAAATCTAAATGGAATATCAAGTATTTGTGGTCACTCAAGGACTCCTCCTGAGAGATCTCTAAACTTTCTGGTGCACAATTTATATCAGGAGAACACAAGACAAGATCTGTCCATTTCGTTCATGGAAATTCATCAAAAGAACGTTGTTAGCTGCCAAAAAATCAAAGACAATAGAACCTCTCGGGTCTATGTTTGGCGCACCCCAATAGGTATGCCTAGCATTAAAGTCACCAAATACCAAAAAATATTTAAAATTTTCACAAATGTCCTCCAATTTAGCGATGTAAGCTGAGATATCCTCAGCTGGAGAAAAGTAGCAAGAAAAAATAGAAAATATTCTCGTCTCATTGTATAGTGATGCCAGTGATAATATCAGTCTGCAGATCAAACGTGCAGTCAATTTTCTCGTTGAGGACAATGATGGCAGTTCGACCTCCAGGAAACATAGCGACTCTCCAAGAATTGTTAATCGAAGCGAGATTACCATTTATTAGATATGGCTCTTGTAGGCATATAATGTCGGGAATCGACCCAATTATCTCACCAATAACAGGGAGCTAAGCCGCAGAGATAGAGCAATGGTTAAGATTGATACTTAAAATCAACATATTTAAGATGACTAGATTTAAAAAGCTCATAAAATATACTAAAATCAAAGCAATGACGATAATCAAAAATGTCAGATTTCAATAAAATAGTATAAAATAGAATAAAATCATAAGATTGGAACCCGAATCCGAAAAATGAGTATATATAAAATACTTAAAACTTAAGATCAAAGTTCACATCCAGATGTTCTTTAATAAAATTTATCTCGCTGATAAGGCACGGACAATCTCTATCAGTCACTTTATGCTTACAGTCGTACTTCGTACCATACTTTTTATTAGAAAAGTCGCAATTAATACACTTAAGTACTTTCTTATCACATACTTTATTATTGTGATCACCAGAACAATTGGAACAATAGGTTTCTGTTTTACAGAATTTCTTAGTGTGGCCGTAGGACCAGCAGTTAGTACATTGTTTTCGGCGTAAGAATAACTTAGCACTGTAAGATTTCCAGCCGCTCATGATGCGCTGATGGTGTAAAATCTCATCCTGACAGATTGGACTAACAGAGAAAACTCTGTGGGAGAAGTTCTCTTGAGTAGGAATTTCAAAAAGAAATTTGGCACATTGTTTATTACATTCACAATTTTCGTAGAGTTTGGAAATCAAAGAGTCGCTGGATAGTTCTTTATCAACATTATATACTATAATTTTCGGTTTGATGAACCTTTTTCTTCTAGTAAGGATCTTAGTATTAAGGTTCCGTTTTTCCTGACTGGCATCCTCTAGTTTAGAAACCTCATCTTTATTAGCCAGTTTCAGTTTCAATTCACCATTATCATGTATCCTAGAGCTCTGGATATGTATACCTAAGTCCAATGGATTGATTTCGTTAGAAATCTCCTCGAAAACGTCAATGTCGGGAGCCATCGGCTTGAGGACAATCTCATCGGCGCCTTTTGCAAAGTGTACAGAAGAAGTCTCCTTCTTTTCGAAACAATCCAGTTTATCAATAACCGAATGTTTGAGACCTATAATCTCATCCTTTATATCTTTGAGTTCATAGTTAGTGCTAGACTTAAGTTCCAACTCCAGGATCTGAAGTCTTTGGGCAGTAGCAATCTCTAAGATTTTGCTCAGTCCAAGAGAGAGTTTATCTGGAAGAGCTGCACCCATCTTCTTTTGCGACTTGATTTTGTCGACAATTTTAAACATCTCTTTAACAATTTCATTAATATTGTTCATCTCTTCAAGGACTCTATCAAATGAATCTTCCTCTCTAACATCACTTTTATCCTGACTAGCCATTACTTTTTTAAATTCGGTGTCGGGTTCCAAGTTGGAGTTTAAAACATTTCAAAATGCCTTATAAAAACTAAAAAAATTTTCAAAGTTCAAAATTGGACTTTAACAATTTCCATAAAAATTTACAATAATTCCAATAAAATAAAAGTTCGAGGAGAACCTCTAAGCATGTAATTTCTATAAAAAAAAAAATAAAATGCCCACAACCTTCACCCGCGAGTACACACGGTTTAAAAAGGATTCACAGGGGAGTTGCCGTGCACCCACGAATGGTTTTAACACGGACTTAAACTTAAGATCTATAAAATACTTACACTAAATACATATAAAAAATATATAATCAAACACAGAAGTTAAAATACATAAAAAACCCCAAAACCCGAGAGAAGACAAGACCATAAATACAAAAACATTAAAATGACAATAAAACCAAAGACAAATACAAAATACAAAAAACAAAGAAGACAAGAAGAGAATACAAGATAAAATTGACTCGAAGTCAACGTAAAATCAAGCTATATACGCTATAAATTTAAGATCTCATTTGATCACAAATGCTATATACGCTATAAAATTCAATATAAAAAGCTTAGCAAAGCTTTACATTTAGGAAAATAAAGGCAAAAGCCGCACAACGCTTAATTGAAAAAATGCCAATAACAAAATGCCAAAAGAACCCGTTTTAGGGCGATATCATTAAGCTATATACGCTATACAATTCAAGATCTCATTTGATCATATATGCTATATACGCTATATAAATACAAAGTATAAGCACTACAAAGTTTTTACAATAAGGAAAAGGTATCTATCTCAATGGTATTCCAATTAATCGATCTCAAGAGATTATTGGATCCGACAAAATTGCTTCCCTTATCGCTATAAATTATCGATGGCCTTCCTCTACGAGCAATAAATCTTCTAAGACCAAGTAAAAATCCTTGAGTTGAAAGGGACAAAATCAGTTCCAAATGGACCGCCCTGAAAACAGCACATGTGAAAAGTAAAATCCAAGCTTTTCTTTTATCCTTCAAAATTAATGGGCCAGCTAAATCAACGCCGACAATCTCGAAAACACGAGCCTCTCTAACTCTGTTTTCTGGTAGAGTAGCAGGCACAGTCTGTAGTCGTTTACCTCCATGTCTCCTGCACCTGACACATGCATATAAAGCTTTTCGAATCGTAGCTCTACTTTTCAGGATCCAAAACGTCTCTCTAAGTGTTGACATCAGTACGTGAATTCCTGCATGAGACATATGACGAATAGAGAGATGTTTATCAATTATCAATTTCTCCACAATCTTATGATTCTTCGGAAGTAACATCGGATAAATAAAATTTTCATGGTCTTTCCTTTCAGTCAACCTAGACCTGACACGTAAAATGCCTTCGTCATCTTTGAACACACTTATTGACTTCAGCTTCTTAATATCATCAGATGAAAAAGAATCATGTTGAATAATCTTCACGATAGATTTCTCAGCCCTTATCAATTCATAAACTTTTAACTCTCCTGATTCTCTTTCTTCTTTCCTCTTTCGGGTATTTCCTATGAATCTGTGTATCCACCCAATCATTCTAAGTATTTTCTTATACTTTGAAAAATAGCCAAAGAATTGTGAAGACATATCGCTAACATTGCTTAACGAAACTATAACTGCTTTACGTTTTTCAGTATTAACCTCTTCTTTATTATCGATTGGGATAGAACGAGGCCATTCTTCTTCCGGCAGTGCCAACCAAGGTGGGCCCTCCCACCATCTTGATTCAATGAGTTTCTTCACAGAGCATCCTCTTGATGGCATATCGGCTGGGTTTCCCGCACCTGGTACATGATGCCAATTTTCACGATCGATCCGATAGGATTCTAATTTCTGAAACTCTGTTATTCACAAAAGTGCTCCAAACTTCTACGTTCTTTATCCAGAACAGTGCTGTTGACGAATCGGTCCAGTAATATTCCTTTGAAATTTCGACCTTAAGGTTCTTGACAAATGATGCTAATCGCACCCCAATAAGACAAGCAAGCAATTCAAGTCGTGGTATACTTATTTTTTTCAAGGGAGCCACTCGTGCTTTGGCTTGCACTAGGGTCACTTTGACTTCTTTATTTGACTTCTCAAATACTGCACTTGCATAAGATCCCTGTGAAGCATCGGCAAACGTATGCAAACTAAAAGA